CGCTATCGGGCGGGCTGTCTGACGCGCTCTTTTCTCAGGCAGAGGTCTGCATAGCCTTCTCCCATGCTACTTTTCCCGAGTGCCTGCTGACACAGGCCCCGCGTAGATTGTCGACTTCGTTGTCTGGCTTCTCTTTTCCCAGAAAGGCAGCAACGCCACCTGGCCTAAGCATCTGCTCTGTGACGGCTTTCGTAGGAATGCCACGCATGCCGCCACATCGGCCATTCCTGGGCTGCTCTCCGTGTACCCAAATCACCATGTGGAGGCTCTGAAAAAGAGTCCCTGGCCGGAGCTACTCATGTTGCTGGGCAAGTCAGGCGAGAGTATCATGATTGATCTTCTTGTTGATGGAGCTATGTTCACGCCCATCCAGACGGGATTGGGCAACATGTATCAGCTCAGCGGTGTGCCCTTGTCAGAATTGAGCCCAGCGCAGAGCCAACTTTCCAAAGCTCTGATGAGGGACACAGTCCCACAGCGACCGTTGGCTGACATCACCTTCGTCAGAAGCCGTATGATGTATGCACGAGCCGCACTCAACACTCGCGGTTTCGTGCTCTTTGGATTTCGTCATATTCGTAAGGCTCTCGTTCCCAAAACAGCTTGATCTTGGCTAACAGTGATTGCAGATGTTTTGAATCGATGTCCGCTTCCAGGCATGGTAATGCTTGAGACAAAAGGATCCGGGATTCCAAGCAAGATTGAAGACAGCACACGGAAGTTGCTGATGTATATTTTCCCACGACAGTTCGGCCTGCATAACGTCTTTTCTTCCGAAGTCGACAGACGGCAGACAACGCAGAAGTTCCAGGATTATACCCTACGAGAGGACGAGATCAAGTCTCTTCATCCTCACTTGGGATGTTCCGGAACTGAAAAACCTAGATCCCTGCCTAAAAGGCTGCGTGGGGAGGTCGTCCGCTTGATCCAGCGTTTACAAGTCCGGCATGCTCGGTGCTCGTATACTGAACTGCTCCGACATTATTGCCCATCTGCTTTGGATGCCAATGCTGGACAACGACGTTCCATCCACGAGCAGCCTGGGAGCAAAAAAGCAGCCGTTGGCAAATGGTCATCACTTTCTGCGACCCAACAGACAATGTCGAAAAGGTCAGGGCTGCGACGAAAGTCCGGTGGCAAAGACTATCGCAGGTCTACGCAGATCGCACAACAGCCACCACAGCCCACCGTTACGTTCGAAACAATCACAGACTTGGCAACTCCCGCCGCCCATGTTTCGGCCTTTTGCCAAGCGGTTCTTGCAAAACTTATACCCGATGACTTCTGGGGGTCGGGTTCTTCTCGGAGGTCTAATAAGCAGCTGGTCATGACGAAGGTGCACCATTTTGTCAAGCTTCGCAGGTTCGAGTCGCTATCGCTTGGTGAAGTTGCAAATGGTCTCAAGGTGCGAGGCCTTACCCATGTTGTGGTATCCGACTGACAAATAAATCCTAGGTGACAGACATCGGTTGGTTAGCACCGCCAGGCTTACTATCCCAGAAGACCAGCCTCACCGACATGAACAAGCGCCTCGAGATTTTGAACGAATTCCTCTACTATGTTTTTGATTCCCTTTTGATACCCCTCCTGCGCAGTAATTTTTACGTCACCGAATCCAGTGTTCATCGGTACAAATTGTTTTACTTTCGCCACGACATCTGGCGTTACGTGGCAGAGCCAGCCATGGCGGAGCTCAAAGTCACCATGTTTGAGGAGGTTAAGCTGGATCATGCACGGAGGATATTGGAGAACAGGAGACTTGGGTTCAGCCAAGTCAGGCTGCTGCCCAAACAAATCTCCATGCGCCCCATCACCAATCTCCGAAGAAGGGCCGCGCCGATAGGCAACAAAAAGATGCTGGGATTGAGCATCAACTCAATTCTTGGGCCGGTGTACTCGGCCTTGAAACTGGAAAAGGTGAGCCTTCGCTCCTGATACGAGGTGAAGCATCGACTGACGACTCAGGAACTCGACCCGTCCAAGCTGGGCGCCTCACTGTTCTCTGTTCCGGATATCTACCGGCGGTTGAATGCGTTTAAAAACAGTCTGGGAGACACTCCAGGCAAGCTCTACTTTGTCAAGTTGGATGTCAAGGCTGCTTTCGACACCATTCCACAGGATGCCGTCCTCAAGTTGATGCAGGACGTGACAACCCAGGACAGGTATAAGCTGTTGAAGCACGTTGAGATCAAAGCAGGTCATGTGGGCGGAGTCCACAAGCCCACACGGCGGTGGCAAGCGGTTGCCATACGCGAGCACGATAAGACCCCGTTCCTTGATCGTGTCGAGAGCCAGCTGGCGCCGACCAAGCGGCATACAATCTTCGTCGACAACGTCATGCAGCGATCAGAGGATCGACGAAAGCTCTTGTCTTTGATGACGACGCATATAGAGCAAAACCTTGTCAAGCTCGGAAAGAAGTACTACCGACAAAAGAACGGCATTCCTCAAGGGTCGGTACTTTCCTCTACGCTCTGCAACTACTTTTACGCCGATCTCGAGCTACAACACTTGTCGTTTCTGAACGGTCAAGACTGTATGCTGTCCAGGCTAATTGATGATTTCCTTCTCGTTACCACGGATGTTGCGCAAGGCGCGAAGGTTCGTCAAGGTGATGCACATGGGGCTTTCCCCGGCTACGGGGTTTCTGTCAGCCCGCTAAGACGTTGGTGAAACTTTGAGATGGGAGATTGACGGCGCTCGGGGGTGAGATTACCCAAAGG